TATAATAATGATAAAATTATAATATACAGAGAATAAAATAATTAAAAAAAAATCTTTAATTTAAAATTCTAAATATAATATAAATTATAAATTATAAATAATATATTTTATTACATTCTAATTAAATAATCTAAATTTTATTTAATTCATATAATGACTTAATTGATATAAAATATAATTTAATCTTTTTAATTTATAATATTTTAATAATATATTTCAATTTTATACTTACTGTCATTAAATACGGGTAAAGCAAGAAGTAACATCCATATAATACCACTTATATATAAAAAATAACAAAGGGGTTGTTCCCATTTTAATAAAAATTTTATTATTTTTCCAGATCCTGCTCGAGGATCCGTTAATAAACCCATTGTTATTTCTATTTATTCATATTACATGTGCCTTAGATTAATATAATTATAGATAAGATAGAGGATAAAAATCAAAAAAATCAGATATCATACTCCATCTTTATGCTTCTGCTATTTGCTTTCTTAGTTTCATTTCCGATATTCGGAAGATGGCGCTGATATCTTAATTTTTATTCTATCTTTATCTTTATTATATACTATATACTATATTATTTATTTCTCTTTTATGTATACTTCTTTTATGTATGCTATAAACAAAGACAGATCTAAATTTAAATATTAGAGAAAAGTTATATATAAATATTAATTTGAAGAATATAAATTTAAAAATTTTAAAAAATATAATTTTATTTTTAAAAATATATTCTATATTAATTTTTTCATATAATTTTTATCATAATACTAAATTAATATTTAGTATTATTAATTAATATCCCATTATAATTCGAAGCAAGTATTCTAAAATAAATTATAAGAAAAAATTTAATAAAATAAAAAATAAATCATAAATAATATGTATTATAATATTTTTTTTAAATATTTTATTAAAATAATTACAAAATAAAAGTTTATTTCTAATCTTTGCTCAGTAAAAGTTGTTTATTGTAATTAAAAAAATATATACAAATAATGATAAACAATCATATATAAAATATAATAATTTTATAATATATAACCTACCTAAGATATTTTGTATCAGAATATTTGTTTTATTTGCAGTTTATAATTTTATATTCAACTTTAATTTCAATCAGAAATTATCATAGTTAACTATGTAATTCAACTCGTTAAATATATATTTATTTTTGTTGCTAGGAGAGGAAGTATTTTTACGATGTAAAGCATTCGCTTTAAAAATAAAAATTGTGAACAGAATAATGTGAAACCAATCAAATTAGTTTTTATAAAATCAATTTAATTGAAATTTGTTATTAAAAAAAACATATCAACATCAAGTATAAAAACATTAGTTAAAACATCTTTAAAAATTATTATTGAAGATCTTGCACTAATCAAGTATGAACATAATTTATTATAATTCATTATATTTTTCATTCAATTTATTAAAACTTATTAAATTTTACTAAAGATTTATTTAAAAGTATTAATTTATATTAATTTATTTCAAGTATTTAAATTTAAAACACAATCACGAATACGCTTGAAGAGTAACAATCTTGCCCAAAATTTTCAATTGGCTATATAAGAAAAAATTAAATTTTTATATTTAAATAAAACATTTATTAAATTAAGTATAACAAGATAAAAAGATAAAATATTGTGTTTATTAATTATAACAAACAATAAGAATACAAGTAAGTATATAATACACTTGTGTAATGTTTTATGTTTTCAGCAATTGTTTTTGGTTTCACTCAACAATTACATATATATAAAAGAAAATGACCATCATAAAAATCAATATGTTAAAATATTTGCTTTGAAAATTAATATAAATTTATTTTTATTTTTATGTAACAATGAAAATAGTGAGAAAAAATTTATCACATTTATTCTTCAAGTATGCCTTAAATGAAATTTGTGTTGAGATAATTTCGTGATTAATAACGAAATCGAAATCATTTGGAAGTTAGAATTATTTCCAATCTCTGGTTTATTTAAAATAAAGTACTGTGTTGTTTTTATAATGAAACTTTTCTCAATTTGATACCACTAATTGAAAGACATGTCTCAAAATAAGTTTTATCATATAGGGGATGTTTTAAAAATAAAAATTAAAATTTATGTGTTATATTGAATTGATTTTTTCATAAAAATAATTCATCAAGATATTAGCATGTATTGATTTTCATTTCATATATTATAAATAATCTTAAAATTTATCACAAACTAAATGTAAAATATAAGTTTTTTGATGTATTACTAAATTATTTTGTTTATTTATTATTAATAATATATAGGATATTTTGGAATAATATTTCAAAATCGTGCAATGTTTATCAAATAAGAAATATATATTCTTTTCCATTAAAAAAGTTTTAATAGATATTAATTAGTTTTGGAATTATAAGATTTTTTCAAATATAATCTTGTATAATATATAATATATGATAATATAAAAAAATCTTAACCTTTATTAAATTTAAAACAATAAATTTTTATTGGTATAAATAGTTAATAAAGTTTTAAAAAACTATAATATATAATATTTTTTAAAAATACTTTTTTAAAATAATTAATCATTTTTTAAAATAAAAGATTTATTTGAATGAATAAGATAATAAATTAAAAACTATTTAAAAACTAAAAAAAACAGTCATCATAAATATATTTATATAACAAAATGAATAGAAATCATATGAAATATATGTTATAAATAATATAATAATATAATAATATAATAATATAAAGCTAATATTTCAGTGATGAATATAAGTAATATTAGAATACTTTCTTATTTTTCTTAATTAATATTATGTGTTATCAAATCTCATTTTTAATCTTTTTAATCAAAATTATTTTTAATCTTTAAAAACATTTTATATATTTGTGAAATCAAAGTGTTAAGCATCAATTTATTCATATTACAGGTTATAAGCATGGATTATGAAGATGATTTCTTCTTTGAAGAGGATAAGATGTTGGTTTTATAAAATTAATTATTTATTTATTGAATGTTACCCTTCAATTTAAATCTGCTTCTTTTTTCTTGCAACATGCATGCCTGTATGCCACGGTACGGTGGGATAGTTTAATGGATCAAACATTATTATCTACAGATAATATTTCTTTGAAAAATATTGAAGAATGTAAAGAAAATTCTGTTCCTTTAACCACCGTGTCATTGGCTAATGTTCAATTGCAACAATTTATCACAATGGAAGATCGCATGTATGCATTTTTTTTGTTTCACTATCTTATTTTTTATTAAAGTTTTTGTCAAATATTTATATATATATAAATATATATAAAAATATATTAGTATATTAAAAAATATAAACTCTATGTTTTTTTCTTTAATCGAAATGTAGACCAGATGTAGAACTGGTCAATCAAGATCAGTCTCTTCATCATTTATCTAATAATACAACGTAAGTTTTAATAATATATGCTTATATTTTATATTGTATTACTTGATACTTGATTTTGATGTTTATAGTATACTATTCAAATTAATATTGTAATTTCATGTTTTTAATATTTTTAATATTTATATTTATTTTTATAAACATTTAACATTTATTATTAAAAAATTCAAGAAAAATTTTTGTAATATTTGACATAAAATTTAAATTATTTTATTATTTTTTAATTATTAAATTTTGTTTTGCATGATATTACAAATAGAAGCTTTTCAAATTATTTTATTTTATTATTTTGTATTATATGTGTTTGTATTATATGATTAAATGTAGTATTAAAAAAAAATAATATTTATTACAGATAGTAGTATAGATTGTGATTTTTTTGTTAATTAATTATATCAGTATTTTAGATTATATATTTTGTTTTTATTCTATATATATATATATTTACATATATACTTATTATTTCATTATTATTCTTTGATTTTACAATGAAAAATTTTCATTGAAGATTGGATAATGGATTACATATGTCATTCATAATAATTCTTTCTAATTGATGACATTACTTTTTAACTGGTTAACTAATATAATATATAATATAAAAATTATTTTATATTTTAGAATATCTTATATTATGTAAGAATATTATATAAAAAATTATAATAACTATATTTATTTTATTTATAATATATAAAATATTATTAAAATAATATATATTATATAATATATATATAAAAATTAAAATAAATATTATATTTTAAAAATAATTTATATATTTAAATATTAAATTTATATTATTGATATGTAATATATAATATGTCTTCTTTTTTTTTGTTAATTTATGTAGGGGTATGACTATAACTTCTGGCAATGTTGTAATACAAAAAGATAGCAGTAATCTTATAGGCATTAGTATTGGAGGAGGAGCACCCTTATGTCCCTGCTTATATATTGTACAAATTTTTGATAATACACCAGCAGCAATAGATGGTACTTTACAATCTGGAGATGAACTTGTAGCAGTAAATGGAACATCAGTCAGAGGAAAAACAAAAGTAGAAGTTGCAAAAATGATACAATCTTGTGATTCTCAAGTCAGTATTAATTATAATAAATTACATGCTGATCCTAAACAAGGTCGTACTCTTGATATTGCTTTGAAAAAGGTAATTATTATTAAAATTATATATTATAAAAATATTATTAAAATTATATATATTTATCATAAATTATTTTATATTAATGAATTGATAATGAAATATATATTATTAAAATTATATATATTTATCATAAATTATTTTATATTAGTGAATTGAATTTCAGGTAAAACATAGATTAGTTGAAGGAATGGGAAGTGCAACAGCAGATGCACTAGGATTATCACGTGCCATTCTTTGTAATGATGCTCTTGTACAACGATTAATGGCATTACAGCGTACAGAAAATTTATACAGAGGTTTAGTTTCTCATGCTAAAGCTACTTTGCATGCTTTTTTTGATCTGATACAAATATATAAAGGTATGTTTAGAAATTTTTAATTAGACTATCAAATTAAATAAATGTATATTGTGTGTACACACGCTCGCACGCACGCGCGCGCACACACACATACAAAATTATATACGTATATAATATGGTAGTATTATGTATATAGTTAATTTATTCATTTAAAAATCAAAACAAATATTTAATATATGAATAGTTCATAAGAATATATTATTATTAGAATTAAAATTATTAAATCATAAAAGTTTGTATTGTATATGTATATCATGATTCTACTAATATTTTAATATACTATATTCTTATATACATATTAAACTCTGTATTATATATATTTTAGTATTTGGAGATGCCTTTGCTGCAATAGGAGTAAGAGAACCACAACCACGAGCTAGTGAAGCTTTCAGACAATTTGGTGAACAACATAGACAAATGGAAAAATTTGGAATAACAATTTTAAAAACTTTAAAACCTATATTAAATGATCTAGGCACATATCTTCATAAAGCTATTCCTGATACTCGATTAACTATTAGCAAATATGCTGATGCAAAGTTTGAATATCTTTCTTATTGTTTAAAAGTAAAAGAATTAGATGATGAAGAACAAAGTTATGCAGCATTACAAGAACCTCTTTATCGAGTAGAGACAGGAAATTATGAATATCGTTTAGTATTGAGATGTCGACAAGAAGCTCGGGCAAAATTTGCTAAACTTAGATCAGATGTACTTGTAAAACTTGAATTATTAGACAATAAACACGTTCAAGATGTTGTATGGCAAATGCAAAAATTTGCAGCTGGTTTAGCAAAATATTATTCTAACACACGAGACTTATTATCTGCAGTAATGTTATTTCCTGTTGAAGTTGATTTATCACATTCAGCATTTCAATATAAATCCACTGGTCCTCAAGTAATAACTGATGGAGAAGATATAGATGAATTTGAATCAGAAGAAAAAACAAATATAAATGAAGATTTACTCATAGATACACAGAACTTTTCATTCGTAACTTCAGAATCTAATAATATGTAGCAATATGTTTCTTTTGCAAAAGATTTTAATTATTATGCTTTTTTATTAAAATTTAATCAAATGATATTACAGTGAAATTTTTCCATATTATTTTTAATGAAATTTTATATTCTTCATATTTTATTATTTTCCATAATATAAAAAAAGAATATCAAAGATTATTNTATATATACTATTTTTTATATTTTATTTATTCTAGCTATTCTTGTTAAAGATATTTTTATTAAAATTTTCTTGATACTATAAATATTAATTATAAGATACAAAAATATGTATATGTTACATTCTTAAATTTTATATAATAATATTCTTATATTATCGTATATTATATACAAAGTGTTAATATATTTATTGTATGATATCTATATGATCATATTGTATCTAAAGACTAAAGCAAAAGTTGATATATAAAAATTTTGTTTAAAGTTTATTTATTAATAAACAATAGAAATTTTTATTAAATGAAATGGAATATAGATAGAATAAAACAGCTTTATTTCTATCACATAAATATATTAACACTCATATATAAATATTTTAAAAATATATAATTGTTATTTTACAGTCAAATCTTTATGTTACTTAAATATTTTATTGAATAGCTTAATAATAAATTTAATGTTTCTTCATAATACATATAAATGTAAAATTTATGATATATAATATGGAATATCTATAATTATTATGTTGCAAAATTGATTGATTTTATAAAAATAAAATTCTATGTCTGTTCTATGTTATCTTATATGTAAATATAACCATTAAGATCATATCAAAATATATTATATATATGTAGTTTACACATATATAAAATAATTCTTAAAAAATATTTATATAAGATTTAAATATCAAATATTTTTATAAATATTGTTATTCTTAAAATACTGCTACTAAAATCACATCATCACGTGATCATTTAAATTTTCATAATCGACGATCAATAAATGTATAACATAAATTTCATCTCTTCTCATCTTGTGAAATTGATTTCCACTAAAATAACATACAATAAATTAATTCCACAATAAATTTTAGCAGTATTAAAATAACATAATATTTATTATAAAATTAATCTTTTAATACGATTTAATCTTTTAATACGATTTTTCAATTAAGTTTTAAAAGTATTAAAAATATATGATTTTAATTTCAATAGTTATTTCTGTGAAATAATTATTTAATAAGAATAATTGTTTTTATTATTTATTTTTACTTATATGTTTACTCAATTTTTTTAATTTTATCAAAATCTTTAATTCAGAAATCTTTCTATTTTTTTTCCACTTTAAAGAATAACTTCTTTTTATCAGCTTATATCTAAAATAAATTGTAAAATATAGGAATATGGGATTTTCAAGCATTAATTTGTATTATTAAAAAAAATTGAATTTAAAAATCAAGAAATTACATTTTTTTTCCATTTAATGATTTATAATATATTGAATTTGTTCATATTAAAAATGTAGATTAAAAAATATATTAATAAATTAAATATAAATATAATATATCAATGTTTATAAATTTTATAATTTTGCAAATTGAACTAAAAAATAAGTTATTTGATCCAAAAGACAAAATTATAAATATTTTATATATATATATATATAGATAGATAGATAGATAGATAGATATATATATAGATGTATGTAAATATTTTTGTTTCTTGTATAAAAATTATATCGGAAAACTTCTATATAAATCATAAAAAATTTAATAAATTTTTTTAAAATTTAATAAATTTAATTTAAAATTAATACTAATATAACTCTCTAGTATAACACTTAGTAAAATAAAGATTAAGTAAGTTATATTAGTTATAAACTTAAACCAAATATATATTTATTTATTTATAATGTAAAATTTTATTTTATTTGCTAAATTTTCATTTATAATATGTTAAGAAAAATATATGTTAAATAAAATGTTAAGAAAATAAAAAAAGACATGTAACTTAATCTTTAAACTTTTCTCCTTTATTTAAAAAAATAATAACTACACTTTCATTTTGTTAGATGAAGTATGCACTAAACCAAGAAGAATACAATCTGCTTCTAATATTGTTAGATCTGTAGATGCTCCTAAAAATCTTGTTGATAATTCCAAATCTTTTATTAATAATTTGACTTTTGAGCCTCTTTTATATTGCCTAAAATAATAAAATTTGAACTATGATTTATTAGAATAAAAATTTCATTTATAACTTACAATGAGTCTTTTTGAGGTCTTGGGCACACACAATGAAATTTCCATCCAAAGTCAATGTATAAATCATTATTAACAATATGAAAAATTTCTCCCAATACTACTTTTCCTTCTGGATTTCCTAGCTAAAATATGATTAATACACATAAAAAATATATATATATAAATTATAAAAAAAATATATATTTATATATATATAAATTATAAAAAAAATATATATTTATATATATATAAATTATAAAAAAAATATATATTTATATATATATAAATTATAAAAAAAATATATATTTATATATATATAAATTATAAAAAAAATATATATTTATATATATATAAATTATAAAAAGAAATAAGAAAAAGAAGTTGAATATAAAATATAATAAATATAATATAATATAATATAATATAATATAATAAATATAATATAATAATATAATAATAATAAAATGTAATGTAATGTAATAAAATATTTCATATTTACATCTATGAATTTAGAATGTCGAAGTAATGAAGCGAAAGTATCCTGTCTTGGAATTAATAGATTATTTTCAATTTCGAGATCTTTTGAAAACTGTGGAATTTGTTCAAAATTAACAGATTCTGTTTTCTTGCTTTGTCTCTTGTCTTTTGTTACATTTATACTTAAATCTTTTTCTATACTATAATTTCGAATAAATAACAAATTGATTTGAGGTATATAAGCGAAACATAATTGTTTAATTGCCTTCCGACATCGTTGAACTTTATTCATTTTAGTGGGAAAAAAAATGTGTTTCGATAAAACTATATATAGGTTATATGTTTAACTTTTTTCTCAATTCTTAACCATTCTTAAAGTTCGCAACAAAACAAAACTAGTTTTTTTTAAAAAGTTTTAATAAATTAAGTAAGTAATGTAATAGATATTACGTTAAAATAAATTAAGATAAATAATACAGACATCAATAACATATCTATAACATCTATAACATTATACAATAATGTTATTATAATATTATCATTTTTTTATTTTGTATTAACTATCATATATGTTAAATTTTATTATTTTTATTTATAAATTTTATAATAGATTTATAAAATTAATAGATCAAAGAAATTAAAAATAAAAAAATGATTTAATTAAATTATATAATTAATAAATTTTTTTAAAAAATTATATAATTTTATTTCTTTTTCTATATAAATTTTAATAATTTTTTTTTGAAATTGAGTTAAATAATATTTAATAAAGAAGATTTTAATTTGTGCGATTATTATTAATATATATATATATATATATATATATAATCATATTTAAAAATATATCGCATATTGTAATATAATGTAATAATGATCATATTCAAAAATTAATATTATTTTTTTATATTATAGATAATATAATAATGCCTATATATGGTAAAATGTTCAATATTTTATCCAGAAATGTTTCTACATCAACAATATGTAATCAAATAATAAAATTGACAAGATTAAGAGTTGTAGATAATAGTGAAATTGGAAAACAAGCTATGATGGAAGGAAAACCACCACGTTGCATTCATGTTTATAATAAAAAAGGAGTTGGTTATATAGGTAAGATAATTATGTGATATTTTGATAATATATATTTATTTTTATTTATAAAATATATAGGAGACAGAGTATTAGTTGCCATAAAAGGTGAAAAAAAAAAAGGCATATTGGTTGGTTTGAAACAACAACAAAATCCTAAAGTTCCAAGATTTGATAGCAATAATATAGTTCTTATAGATGACAATGGTACACCTTTGGGTACTAGGATCCATGTACCAATTCCTCATATTCTTAGAACAATTATGAAAGAAAAGACACATAGCAAAGGTGCAGATTATACAAAATTATTAGCTATTGCTACTAAGTTCGTATAATATATATTTATAAATGTTAAATTATTTATTTTAAATAATTAGAATAATTAAATAGTAATAGAAAATTTTGTTATAATATATATATATGTGAATATGCGTACATATGTATGTGCATTTATGTTTATATGTATTAGTACATAAAATTTAAAAAAAAATAAAATGTCAAAATTCAATTATATAATTGTTTATTATATTAATATATTGAAAACATAACTTATATTTATAACTTATATTTAAGGAAAATTGAAAATTAGCAATTAAATAATGATTATAATGCAGATAAATATTATCAATAAAAAGAAACGAATTATTAATTCACGAACATGATATTACATTTTATTGGAGAAAAAGTAACAAGATCTAATAAATTTCGACCAATCAGAATAGAAATTAGATATGACCAATAATAATAGAAATTGTTTAAATGTTTTGGTTAATTTTTATTTTATTATTATATATGAGTAAAAAATTTAATATCAATTTATATGTGTAATTTAGAATTTAATTTAAATAAATTAATTTAAATAATTGAAATTGAAATTTAGGTTTAAAAATTTATTCATCGTTTATTGAGTATTTACCTAATGTTTTTCCCTTGATAGGGATATTTTGAGGAAAAGAGAAATCTCATGGTCTGAGCGGCAGTGGCTGCCTTTTACAAATGGCGGCTTAGGCAAAAGCACGCTGTTTTATCTAATCAAAAGATTTTTCATTAACGATTTTTGTATATATAGTAAATATATTCGTCTTTGTGTAAGAATTCACAAGGGTGAAACAGTAAGATATTGTGTCATTTGTACAAAGGGAAAACGAAAATTATTAAAATTCTTACGCATAAAATTTATCAAAATGGGAAACGTATTAGCAGCTTCTGTACCTCCTCCACCTTCGCCGCCACCTCCGACTTCAGGTTTATTACCAAATTTAGAAAAACCAGATTCTTCTGAGACTTTAAACTCTAGTAGACTTTCTGATGGTTTGAAAAATCCTGGTACAATCGAGGATCTTCATAAAAAGTGTAAAGGTATCTGTATATCACGTAATCAATATTATTTTTAATTCATTTTTTTTCTATCGTATAATCTATTTTATTGTCTAATTGATGATATAATTATATGTATATAATAAAAAAATTTTCATTCAAATACAATTAAAATATAACTCTAATATTAATTATTAATATTATGATAGATGTATTTCCTGCAAACTTCGAAGGTGCAAAACTGATGTTTAATAAAGGTCTTAGTAATCACTTTCAAATTTCTCATACAATAAGCATGAGTTCCATTGCACAATCTGGGTATAGGTAGGATTGAAATTGATATAAATTTAAATATTATTTAATTATAAATAATCTATCAGATATAATATTTAAATGTTTTCAGATTTGGAGCAACTTATGTTGGTACACAGCAACCGGTACCTTCAGAAGCTTATCCAGTGTTATTGGGTGATATAGATCCAAGTGGAAATCTTAATGCTAATATTATTCATCAATTTGGTGAAAGATTAAGAGGTAAATTAGCTACTCAAGTACAGAAAAGTAAATTTACAGCTGTTCAAATGACAACGGATTATCGTGGTGATGCATATACAGTTTCTTTGACTTTGGGTAATCCGGATATACTTAATGGTTCTGGTAAGCGTGCGAGGTAAAGATCAATTACGTAAAATTTTAGGAACAATAATAGTAAGGAATAAATTGTTTTCTAGGCGTTTTTGTAATGCATTATCTTCAAAGCATAACTCCATCTGTTGCGTTGGGTGGAGAACTCGCTTATCAACGAGGTCCAGCTGTGCCAGGAGGTCAAGTTGCTGTTCTCTCAGCCGCTGGAAGATATACGAACGGAGATTCTACGATTAGTGGTAGCTTAGGTACGTAAGCGGAGATACATGAGCTTAATAGTTATAATAGAATATTTTTATAATGATTAAAAAACTATTTAAAAGTAACAACTAACAAGAACTTACAACAAGATTTTCAATAGGTTTATCTGGATGTCATCTCTGTTTTCACCAAAAAGCTAGTCAGCAATTACAAGTTGGTGTAGAATTGGAAATTAATTGCAGAATACAAGAATCTACCGGAGCAATTGCTTATCAAATCGATTTACCTAAAGCTGATTTAATATTTAGAGGTAGCATTTAAATTATTAATTGTATTCATTCGTAATTTATTTTCAAAATTCATTAATGTATGCATTTTTATTTATAGGAAGCGTAGATACAAATTGGACTGTGGGTGCAGTTTTGGAAAAGAAATTACAGCCATTGCCATTTACATTTGCGTTAAGTGGTATGATAAATCATAGTAAACCGCAATTTAGACTGGGTTGTGGATTAATCATTGGTTAAAGATAGGGACGTAAATAAGTACGAACCGCGTACATTACTTAGGTAAATATCGGGAAGAAGAAACAATGGAGTATCATGTGACTTTTGTGAATACCATTCGAGAGAAACTTGTAATTAATATCGATGATGCCCAAACTGATTCCCTTCTATTTGTTGATTACCTCATCTGCTCACCATCGTGTTTATAAGATCGTTTTGTTTGTTTATTTTTTATTAAAGAAATACCATATCAACAGGGTTTTTTAATTGTGTATATTTATTTAATTTAAACATGCAAATTTTATTATTCCTTTCATATTGTCGACTAACACTTTAAATGATTAAGTTATATTAACAATCGTGACTTGTAAATTTTTCGAATGAAATTATATTCAATGAAAAAAAAGAATGCAATGCGATCAAATTTTCTCATTATCCGTTTTACGGGTTTAAAAAAACACGTATTCGATAGTGTGATATGTTTTCATCTGAAATATATTGGTATTCTGCTCTGCTAACGTATAACTTGATTTAAGAGGATCATATATTATTTCGTTCATATTATTATTATTATTATTATTATTATCATAAGAAAATATGTATTGGACAACAAATTCAATTGAAATTAAACGGAATCGTATAAAAATAAAATAAAATTTACATTATTTAATTCACATAAAGAAAGTATTTAATGCTTAATTTAGATAAAATGTTTTTTTTTATTTTATGAAAAAAAAATATTCGCATTTGATTATATAATAAATTTTATGTCTTAATCATTGAACGATTCGTCGTTTGATATTTATTAATAGAAATATTATATTTTTGTCGTGGGTAAGAATAAGTAAAACAGTGAAAATAAAAGTAAAAGCATAATAATGAACAATATATAAGCATTGAGTCGATATTTCTATAATACTCGAGTTCAAAAAAAATACTGACTAACTATTATCAATTGATTATGATACACTTTGTTCTTACTTTTGTCTTACTTATTTACACTGGTGCAAATACATTTGGAAAAATAAAGTAGCGCACGCTATCGTTTAATGATATTGACCTTTGACTCTCTGATCCATCTTTATTTTAA